TTAGGTATCATTACATTGACACTGTTTTTTCTCCAGTCCTGTTTGGTTATACCCTAGGTCTCTGGATCATCCAGTCTGTGGTTCCTGGTGCTCCAGGCAGTGTCAGGGGTGGGCTTCCTCTCCCAGCATGGGTTTTAGGTTATACCAGCCTTTGGTTGGCCACTCCCTCAATCTCTAGGCCACCCTAACTCCAGCACATCCCATAGACAGGAGAAACTGTAGTTGAAGGCTGAATTGGTGTCCCAGTCACTCCACTCCACAGGAGATGGCAAGTTCAGGCTACATACCCACTATTGCTAGGAGTCTTAGCTGGGGTCATCCTTGTGGTCCCTTATGTTCCCATCCTCTCCTGCCCTTAGTTCACTCATGAAATCTCTTCTAGTTCCCCTTTCTGGGCATATCCCGTTTAACCCTCCTGTTACCTAGCCTCTCTTGGTGTGAGGATTGTAGCGTAGTTATTCTTTATTTTACAGATAATATCCACTTATGAATGAATACATACTGTGTATGTATTTGTCTGGGTTACCTCACTAAGGATGATTTTTTTTTCTAGTTCCAGCCATTTGCCTGCAAATTTCATGATGCCATTGTTTTTAACAGCTGAGTAATAACTCCACTGTGTAAATGTAACACATTTCTTTATCCATTCCTTGGTTGAGGGACATCTAGGTTGTTTCTAGGTTCTGGCTATTACAAATAAAGCTGCTGTGAACATAGTTGGGCAAGTGTCCTTGTGGTATGATTGAACATCCTTTGGGTATATGCCCAAGATTGGTATAGCTGGGTCTTGTGGTTGATTGAAGTTGTGAACTGGGAAGTTTTCTGTGAAACCACCATATTGATTGCCAAAGTGGCTGTACAAGTCTGCACTCCCACCAGCAATGAAGGAGTTCCCCTTGCTCCACATCCTCTCCAGCATGTGCTGTCACTTGTTTTTTATCTTAAGCATTCTGACAGGTGTAAGATGTTTTCATTTGCATTTCTCTGATGGCTAAGGATGTTTAACATTGCTTTAAGTGTTTCTTGACCATTTGAGATTCCTCTGCTGAAAATTCTCTGTTTAGGTCTGTACCCCATTTTTAATTTGGATTTAGTTTGTTAATGTTTGGTTTCTTGAGTTCTTTATATATTTGGGATATTAGTCCTTTGTCAGATGTAGAGTTGGTGAAAATATTTTCCCATTCTGTAGGCTGCTGTTTTGTCCTATTGATGGTGTCTTTTGCCATAATGATCTTAGTGTCTGCACTACTGGTGACCTGTCAGGAAGTTGTCTCCTGTGCAAATGCATTCAAGGCTATTTCCCACTTTCTCTTCTGTCAGGTTCAGTGTACCTGGATTATTTGGAGGTCTTTTATGAACTTGGACTTGAGTTTTGTGCATAGCAATAGATATCGATCTATTTGCATTCTTCTGCATGTTGACATCCAGTTATGCCAGCACCATCTGTTGAAGATGCTTTTTTTTTTTTTCCCATTATGTATTTTTGTCTTCTTTGTTGAAAATCAAGTGCTCATAGGTGTGTGGTTTACTTCTGGGTCTTTAATTCGATTCCATTGGTCCACCTGTCTGTTTTATGCCAATACCATGTGGTTTTTATTACTATAGTTCTGTATTAGAGCTTGAAATCAGAAGTTTGTTTATTGTACAGGATCATTTTAGCTACCATGGGTTTTTTGTTTTTCCATATGAAGGTGCCGTGCCTTGTTTTAAGGATCTTTCTTGCCTCGAGTTTGTACCTTGACTTTTTTTTTGTAAGTATTTTTTTATTTTAATTAAAAAGAAAATTATTTTACATGTCAATCCCAGGTTCTTCTCCCTCCCCTTCTCCCCTGCTGCCCCGCCCCCCAACTAACACCCTACCTATCCCATACCCTCTCTGCTGTATGGAAATGTGAGGCCTTCCATATGGGGTCCTCAAAGTCTGTCTTATCTTTGGGATAGGGCGTAGGCCACCCCTCTTGTGTCTAGGCTCAGGGAGTATCCCTGCATGTGGAATGGGCTCCCAAAGTCCATTACTATACTAGGGATAAGTACTGATCCACTACAAGAGGTCCCGTAGATTTCCAAGGTCTCCTCACTGACACCCACATTCAGGGGATCTGGATCAGTCCCATGCCACCAAGAGCTCTCCCTTGTTAGGTCAGCTGTTTCTGTGGGTTTCACCAGCCTTGTACCTTGACTCTTACACTTGTTCTTCTGAATCACTTTGGATACTGTGATCTATTTGAGTATTAGCTACCACCTGAATGTTTATATTCTAGTATCTAATTTTCTAGACTGATTGCCTCTTGAGCTTTCAATAGTTGTAGTAAGTGGACTTCTAAAACATACCTGTTTTAACAGCCAATGAATAACATGTATTTAGATATCTAAAAGCCACGTGATGATATTTATCAGAAAAGCAAAAGAAAATTACTCATTGTTGAATGTTGCTAAATGATATCCTTGTCTAGTTGATTATTCTAATGTCTTTTGTATATACAGGTTAGTTTGTATGCAAGAGCATGCAACCTGTAGTTTTGGTTCCTCAGATGCTGTCCATTTTATTTTATTTTATTTTATTTTAAAGTCATAGTATCTCCCTGACCTGGGACCTGCCTATATACACCTTTCTTTTTCTTTTTAAAACCTGGGTATGGGGTTGAGCTCAGGTCCTCATGTTTTCAGTGTAAACATTTTTACTTACTGTCTGAGCTATCCTCCCAGCCCTGGTCTTCCAAAATCTTTATGTTCCTTAGTGAGACATGCATATAGCAAACTGTTAAACTTATGGCTGCTTTCTATAGCAAGAGGAACTACATGTCAGGAGGTGTGTTCAATTGTTTCAGTAACATGATGCTTGAGAGACTTTGGCAGTTTTCTAGAGGATTCAGAAAATGGGCTTATATGTTTGCTGGCTGGTTCAGTGGATAAAGAATCTGCCTCCAAGCCTGAGAACCTGAATTTGACCCATGGGACCTATACTCAGGGTGGGAAGAGAGAAGTGACTTCTGTACACTCACACTATGGCATGTATGTTTTGTGTTCACATGGGACTGTATAAACACACACATGCACACACACACTAAAATAAATCTCACTTAAAAATGTTAAAGAAAAATGGGGGCAGTTCTCTGATGGGTGTTTTAATAAATCTTTCACATATGGCTAGAATAGCAAATGGGTAAGAGTGATTGGTAAAGAGTCATTAGTAACTTAGGTTCACTGGGAATTGTTCATGGCTTTGCAGAGTCCATGCCTATCAGGCTTGGTTCTGACTCACTTCCTGTGATGGTTACATTTGATGTGAGCAACCAACCACAGCCTAGCCGTGAGCGCTGGGCTGCCTCTTAGCTTTGAGAGTCTGTCTGCCCCCTCCCATATAGGGGATAGATGGAGAAATTGGGAAGAGTGATGTTCTTGAAGTGATGTGTGACCAAAGTGTTCACTTATTCTTGGCCATGGGGGTGGGAGGCATGGAAATGTATTCAATTGGTAACATGTCTGGAAGCTTTGGTGTCATACTGAAATAGAAATGCCTGGTTTGGTTACTATTCTGTTAGTGGGGAAAGAGGGGAGGAGGGGAGTCCTTGTTATGGGCCCTGCACTAGTACTTAATTGTCTGTCTTCATCCCTCAGGAAAGTTCTGTAGGAAAGGAAGAATGCAATGGCTGGGAGTATGACCAAACTGGAAATGCATGTCTGGCAGTAGTGTAGACTGTTAGGTGAGAAGACACTAGTTAGCATCATAATTGAGCAGATTTTATTCCTCCCCATCACCCAGCTAGTTGGGTGACCTTGACTTTATTCAATGCTTTGTAAACACTTAAGGTACAATAGTTAGGGGTACTGTTATTTTCTTGCATTAGCTGTATGACTGGACAAATTATGAATTCCTTAAGAGCCTTAGTTCTGCTAGCCATATCCAGAATTAGTGTATAGATGAAAACCTGCAAGGGAGTACTTTAGAAGCAACACTGTGTAAATAAAGTAATTGTTAGTCAGGTGTTTATGACTGGATTATAATGTTTTGGGACCAAAGTTTACAGTGTCTTGATATTATTTTGAGGTGTTAGAGATTGAGCTATCAAATAGACTTTAGACCAGGAGGATAGGGTAATAACTAGGGTGGTAAAGGAACTGGGACTGGGGAGGAGAGCCTAGAGATGGAGGAACATTGTAAGCTCCAGTGGAGGCCACACTTAGTACAATACAGCAGTGATGAAAAACGTGCGGCATTTTGAAATCACTACAGTTCTATAAGGGATATGAAAACAAAAATAAATTCCTTGAACTTTTTTTGAGACTGATTTGAATGTATTTTCTTAAATATAAATGGTTTATACACATGAAACAGTAGTCCTTAAAGAAGTGGCTCATTGGTTAGGAACACTCAGTGTCTTTGTAGAGGATCAGAGTCTGATTTCAAGCATCTCCGTCAGGCAGCTCACAACCTCCTGTAACTTAAGCTTTAAGGAATCCATGACTGTCTTCTGGCCTCGCAGACCCCTGCACATACATGTGTATGTGTGCACACAACCACACAATTAAAAAATAAGTCCCCCCCAAAAAAGTAAAAGAAATAGCCCTTTGACAATGCCTAGGACCACCAAAAGCTTTTAGTTTTAGGCATTTATTTGGCCTTTTCTAAAACAATAATCCAAATGTATAATATATGAAGAAAGCTTTTGGAAAAGGGTACAAATTCAGCACTAAGCTGTAAATAATTAGCTAAAAGTTAAAATAAACATAAATATATTAGAAATGTTGTGATTTTCAAAAACTGCTAGGGATGAAATTTTGAAATGCATAAAACGACGGGTGTATATAAAGATGAACAGATCTGTCGTAAATATGACAGAAAATTGTAGAATCTAGATGGTAGGTACATAGATAATCATTATACAGTTCTTCTGACTTTTTGTGTGTGGAAGTTTTACTAAAATATTGGTGGAGGCATGAAGCTAAGGCTTACCTGGAAGATTTCCGTCTTCTGACCTAAGACTTGATGTTTTTGGTAGGAACTTTCCGCTGCACCTTTTGCCACACAGAGGTAGAAGAAGATGAGTCAGCAATGCCCAAAAAAGATGCTCGCACACTGTTGGCAAGATTTAATGAACAAATTGAGCCCATTTATGCATTGCTTCGAGAGACAGAGGATGTAAACTTGGCCTATGAGATACTTGAACCTGAACCCACAGAAATCCCAGCCCTGAAGCAGAGGTGAGTGGAAGCCTGTGCCTTGACCTTTTATAACTTGCTTTGGTTTTAATTTTGGAGAGCTAGAGTGAATACTCTGGAGACTAAAGACAAGATGTCACAGAGCTTATAAGTTCTGCCATGCTTGTCTTACTAACTTGTGCCTATAATCAGATTTGTTGGTCTGGAATGTAATAGAGTGCTGGCCTGCGGCAAAATCTTTTAGGTAGTCAGGGTTCACCTTAACCACTCCTGATTGGACCGGAAGCACTCAGCCAATTGGTAGCTAATCCTAAAATTAGTTGTGCCTCTTGTGAATGTGTGAATTTTTCTTTCTTTTTTTTTTCTTGATTTTTTTTTTTTTTTTTTTTTTTTTTTTTTTTTAATTTGTGTTGGGTTTCACTGTGTAGCTCTGGCTGTCCTGGAACTAGGCTGGCCTCAGAGATCCACCTGCTTCTGCCTCCTGAGTGCTGGTATTAAAGGTGTGTGCCACCACTGTCTGGGTTGTAGTCAACTTTTAAAGGCTAAAATTCTTTGAGGAACACAGCATTTTCCTATGATTTTTGTTTGCTTTTCTTTAGCATGTATGTTTTGTGATAGTCATTGCATACGTACTTTGTTGCTCTTCCTCCCTGATTTCTCTCCCATGCCCCTGCCTCCACTCCCAGCTCCCACTTACACCATTGCATCCCACACAGTCCTCTTTCAGATTTACATGTATTTTATTCTCTGCTACCCCAGACACACACCCCTCCTCCTTCAAAACTTCCTTCCTCTTTCCTACTTTTGTTCTCTCTAATTCCATGACCTACACCCACACTATATATAAAAATATGTACACATACAACATTCTCATATATGCACACATACATAAACATTATAAGCAAAGGTTTATGTATGAGTGAGAACATGTAGCATTTTGTTTTATTCTTCTGAAACATTTTAAACATATGCTTCTTGTGTTACTAAGTTTTAATGCAACTTTCTGAAGGTACAGTGTCACCCATGAGTTAATACTGCTAACAATGGCTCCTTCCTCTTTTTTCAGTGTGCTGTAGTATTTGAATTGCCAGGCAGGCTTAGTTCTACCATGCCATGAAAAGTCATTATATTTTAAAAGGTTTATTTACTTTTAGTTTATGTATACTAATGTTTTGCCTACATGTGTGTGAATGTACTGCATCTATGTCTGGTGCCCACAGAGACCAGAAGAAGGTGTCAGATCCTCTAGAACTGAAATTACAGATAGTTGTGAGTCACCCTGGGGGTGCTGGAAGTGAACCCAGGTTCTCTGCAAGAGCAGCAAGTACCTTTAACCTCTGTGCCATCTCTCTAACCCATAAGAGTTACTATATTACTATATTACTTCTTGAGAACTAGTGTCAGGGAGTGTTCTCTTGTTCTGCCCTATCTTTCTTTCTGATACCAAGGTATCAGAACCAAGCTATCATAACCACCGACCTGCTCCTGACTCTCGAGCTCACAATTATGATTGTATTTGTGTGGGGTTCTGGAGCTTCTGTTTCATCTTTATTTTTCATTAGAAATAGCTTTTCATTCATACAGTGTATTCTGATTCTGGTTTCCCCTCCTCCAACTCTTCCTAAATCCTTCCCACATCCCACTCACACAAGTCCACACCGTTTCTTTTTCTCATTAAAAAACGTGAGCATCTAAGTAATAATAATAATAAGATAAAATAAAAACAGACAAACCAGTATAGGACAAAACATACATAAAAAAGAGCCAAAGAAAAGTCACAAGAAATACATACAGATGCTGAGTCACGAATATTCACACACATAGAAAATTCGTAAAACAAAATTGGAAACTATAATGTATAAACAAAGAGAAAGGGGTGGGGAAGCCCAGAGAAAGCATTATCAGACAAAACACCCTCCAAAAATGCTATTGGGTTCATTTTGTATTGGCCATCTACTGCTGGGCGTGGGGCCTGCCTGCCCTTAGGTGTGGTTTATATACCTAGCGAGATTCCCTTGGAGTGATTATCAATTGGACATAGCTTCTGGGTTAAAGACAGGGCCTGTGTCTACTTCTCTCAGCATTGGGATTCCATCTGGCTTGGACCTGTGCAGGCCCTGTGCATGTTGCCACAGTCTCTGAGTTTATATGTGTGTCAGTACTGTTGTGTCTAGAAGGCCTGTTTCCATGGTGTCTTTCATCCCCATTGACTCTTACAGTTTTTCTGTGTCATCTTCTGCAGAATTCCCCGATCACTGAGGGGAGGGATTTAATAAAGATAACCCAACCCATCTAGGACTGAGTGTTCCAAGATTTCTCACTCTCTGCACTTTGTCCAATTGTGGGTCTCTATACTAGTTCCCATATACTGTAGGAGGAAGCTTCTTTGGTGATAGCTGAGCAAGATGAGCATAGAAAAATGGCATTAAGAGTCATTTTATTGCTACGGTCCTTTAGTTGAACAGTAATATTTGGTTTTCCCCTAGATCCATGGTCTATCCAATCTCAGATCCTTTACTACCAGGGCAGTGCTGGTCATTTCTTCCATCTCATGGAGTGGGCCTTAAATCCAATTATATAGTGGTGGGTTGCTTTCACAACTTATGTGCCACCATTGCACCAATATATCTTGCAGGCAGATCGCTATTGTAGATTTCAGTGTTTGTAGCTGGGTTGTTGTTTACCTTTGTACTCTGGTGTAGTGTGCAGAGTGCTGTAGTGATATGTTTGCCTCCTCACCTGTAGCTGTGAGAGATGTCTAGTTGGGGCTTTGTCTCCCCTGTTATTTGGTTACTCCATTTAGACTTCTTTCATATATGTATATATTTTAAGAAGCTGCCAGGCGTGGTGGTACACACCTTTAATCCTAGCACTCAGAAGGCAGAGACAGGCAGATCTTTGTGAGTTGGAGGCCAGCCTGGTCTACAGAGTGAGTTATAGGACAGCCCAGGGCTACACAGAGAAACCCAGTCCCCAAAAACAAAAAGCAAAAGGGAGGTGGGGGGTGTTTCTACTGTATTAGGTTTTCAAATAGCTTAGTTTTAGTTGTCCCTCTGTATTTCCTGCTTACCCCTTCTTCCCTTGCCCTTCCAATTTGATCTTCCCTTTTCAGTCCACCCACACCCCCCTGTCCCCATTGCTATTTATTGTTTCCTCTTCCTATGGAGATCACACTGTCCACTCTTCAGTCCCTTACTCTGTACCTAAGAACTGTGGTTATGTGGATTGTTGGCTGCTTATCAAAGATCTAACAGTTAACATTCACATATAAGTGAATACATACCATGTTTGTCTTTTGGGTCTGGGTTGCCTCCCTCGGCATGTTTTTTTTTTTCTAGTGGAGCTTCTATTTTTTTTTTTTATGCCCTCTATTATGTACTGTTAAACAAGTCCTGAGTTAATTGTGTTTTTTTACAGTTGTATGGCGAATTCTGTAACTTTATTGGTTATTGTGGCCTAACACCTAACACCATGTTTCGGTTAGGGTGTATTTGCCTGTGATGATTTGTCTTCCATGACCACCTAGTACAGTTTATAGCTCAGTTGCATACTGAAGGTCTAGATTTCTTTTCCCATCTCTGTTCTTCCCTGTTGTATTGTCTTCTTAAAACTATGAGGGGATCTTCCCTAAGGTGGCCATCTGTGTCTTGATTACCTGCAGATGAAAATATCCAAATGCAGAGAAGATGGCATCTGTTCCTTGTGTCTTATTCTAAAATATGACCACAACATTCCGGAAAACACCTTCTGAAATATGACCACAGAAACATTGCAGAAAATACCTTCTGAAATGTGACCATAGAAACATCCCGGAATACACCCTTTATCTTATCTGTTCCCCAATGTCTTCCTGGCTAGAATTACTTTGTGAATTTATTTTAAATCAATATCTGATCAGGGGGATGAAATTGCATGATTGGTACTCAGAGCAGCTAAGCTTTACTTTGGAGTAACTAGCCATCAATATTTAAATAAAATTGACAAACAAAAATCAAGGAGCCATGGTTAGTAGGGAAACATTACATCCACATCACAGGCAGGCTCATGTTTGACTCAGTAAGTTAGCTCACTGGTGAGACAGAAACATTTACTGTCATTTAGTTGATGCCCCAAATAAAGTAAGATTTTGAGGGTAGTCTTTATTCATTCCCATTGTTCTCTCTCTCTCTCTCTCTCTCTCTCTCTCTCTCTCTCTCTCTCTCTCTTTCTTTCTTATAATAACATTGAAAAGTAAAGACAGGTCCACACTAGAGCAGTGTGCCTTTCTTCTCTCTCCTGACTGGAGTTAGGTAACTCTGGAGGGTAATGTTTTGAGGCACATAGAAAAGGCAAGCTGAGTACAGCAGGATGAAGGTGATGGCTGAGGACTGACAGCACTGACAGGAGTTGGGGAAACAGTGAGATGAGCAGGGAGAACTCAGCATGTAGCAGAAGCACAACAACAAAAATGGATCAGGGCGAGAAAATGAAAGGAACGTGAGTGTTAAGAGAGAAAAAAATGTAAAGAGCCAAGATACACAGAAGTAAAAAGTCAGATTACAGTAAAGACAGCTTCACCTGGAGGAAGGTAGAGTGTCTATCGACAGATATAGCCAAATTAAAACAATTGGTAAACAATGCAAAAGCAATATCATTTGAATACAGAAAGGAACAGAAGGGAGAGGGAAGTCAAGTGCTTGCAACTGTAGCATGAGACATCAAAAAAGCAGAATGTAAAGATGGAATATATATTTGGTCAGATCCAAAGCAGGAGCAAGGAGACAATAGGGAGGAGTTAAAGGAAAGTATTAAGACCAGCTAGACTGCCAGGGAGAAAGGCTGTGGGTCAGAATGGAACAGAGTATCCCTGGGTGCAGGTAGGATAAGGAAAGAATGCCAAAGCAGTAGCTGAAAAGCATGCATTAAATAACTGGAACAAGCTTGTTGCTTGGTTTCAAAAGTATAGGAATCAGAAGCAGGGCAGGAGGGCTGAATTAAGCCCGAGACTGTCTCTAGAGAACGATCAGAAGCACAGTGTTCTAAGGGACATGTAGGCAGCCAGCCAGATTCTTGAACACAGGCACATCAGAGAAACCTCACCTCAGCACGTGACAGCCAGCCCAAGGAAAGAGAGACCAGCTTAGTGAGCAGAACAAGAACAGTGCCCCTAGTGGCTTATGAGGGGAGAAGATTAATGAAATGTTGGTTAGATTTAGGATGAGCTGGTTTCCAAAAGGATAATGGAATGCAGGGAAATGAATCAGAGAACGGTGAGGGCAATCATAAGGTCTAGAATACCTGTGGGCACTGGGAAACCAGCACAAAAGGTATGGTGTGAGCAGGTAGTTCGGGAAACATGATGGATTGTGTGGTGAAACCTCTACACAGGCACATCAGAGACAAACCGTTACGACCAAGATTGAAAACTTTAAAGCAGGGGAAATAGGAAGCAGAAGGGAAAAGGCACACTTAAACTTGGCTTAGCTCATAGAATGGGGAAGTCTAGTGATTGGAGAAAGAAGGAACAATCAGGCCTATAGTGTTCAGGCAGGCAAGGAAGGCCGTGGAGGTAATGAGCAAACCAGACCAGGAAGCAGATCCGATCCCTGATGGGGGTGGGGGGTGGGGAGGGAATGGCTGGGGACAGAGAGTCATTCTAGTTGTAGAAATACAAAGGTGCAGCTGGATAGAAAAGGGACTGTCTGAAGAGTGTTCTGTTCAGTGAGTAGCTGGAGGAGAATGTTAATTCTAAGCTGGGGTCTGACCCTGCACAGTAACTTCCTAACTTCTTCCATGGTCACACACACCTTAGATTAAAGTTAAATTAGGAAAGTACTTTTAATACAGTATTTTGTTTTGTTTTAAACAAACATTTCATGGAAAGATACGACTGGGAGCTGTTTTGCCTGACTAGTATCTTTAAGTAGACTTTCACTGTCCTTCTCCTTCCCCATGCAAATTAGTGGGCATGTAACAATCTCTAAAACATTGGTTTTCATGTATATGAGAGGGTACAGTGTTTGCAGAACTTCAATATGGTCTGATCCATACAGCTTTCCCCCTGGGCTATAGAGAGCTCTCTGAGAATTCTTGAAGCATGCCTGCTGGATTGCTAGTAGCATTTGTTCATGCTTGTACTACATTAGCCCTCTCTCCAGCTGTCCTTTCTGTTCAATGCCCAGATTTTAATTTTTCTTCTTGTTCCTCTCTAATCTTTTCTACAGCAAGGACCGAGCAGCAACTACTACTGGAGCTGCTGGTCTGGCAGGTGGGCACCACCGGGAAGCATGGACCAGCAAAGGCCCCTCTTATGAGGACTTGTATACCCAGAATGTTGTCATTAATATGGATGACCAAGATGGTGTTCATCGCACCTCACTGGAGGGGAAATCTGCCAAAGAGAGGCCCATTTGGTTGAGAGAGAGCACTGTCCAAGGGGCATATGGTTCTGAGGAGATGAAGGAAGGTAAGAGTGAGAAGTCACTAAGATGGCTATGTCATGGACTTGGTAGAAAATTAAATGGGCTTAGAAGAGAATGCCTGGGTAATTCTTGGTTTTATTGAAAATTCATAGTATGAAATTGAGCAATACGCATTAAAAGCAGCCAATGTGTTGTACTGTCTTCTAGTTTAGTCTAACTAACAAATAGGTTTTTAAATCTCTGTTCTTTATTTTTATGTGTATTAGTGTTTGCTTGTGCATACATATAAGGAACTACATTCACTTTTTTTAATGAGTTTAAAGTTGTGTAGTTTGCTTCAGGAAAATGAAACTCCCATTTGTTTATCCATCCAGTAAATTCTTACTCAGTGTCAGGTATTGTCCCAGTGCATGGGTCACAGTGAATAAGAAAGATAAAATTCCGTAGCGGCAGAATCTCCAGCCTTAGAAAGAAACAAGGGTAGTGAGCCTATGTCACTGTGCTGGAAGATGAGTGCTGTGGGGGAAACAGAGCCCTGATGGAGTGGCATTTGAGTAAAGATGTGAAGGATGCAGAAGTTAGAAAAAAAAAAACCAACCTGCCAGGGTAAACAGGTAGAACAAATGCCCTGAGAGAGTGTGTGCCTTGTGTTTACAGGGAATACCAGCTGTAGCTGGAAGGGAGTGGATAAGGGTGGCAGGGCAGGAAGTCGGTAGGTGGCCAAGAGGAGGTAGCACTTTATAGGCCATTGTAAGACCTCTGGCTTTTACTCGAGCAAGGGAAGGGGCCATGCTTTCATTTACTGTTATACCAGCTACTGTACTTGGTCCTATCTTGGCATTATCCCATAATTCTTACCCAGAGTCTCAGAAGGCACACCTTCTAAAATTTAGAAATTGAAAAATTTGCTGAAAATAGGACAGCCTTTGTGGGGGAAAAGGAGAATTCACATTCATGTAATCTTACGTAAACCTGTAAATTCCATGTACTTAAGCTTTAGTTTTTAAGAAGCATTTTAGATATTCTGTAGAACAGCAACTCAGAAAATGGAGCCAGTAACCTCTGTGTTGCTATTTATCAATTTAAACATAACACATCTAAGTCTATCTTTCATTAGTTACAGATGAATGCTTGTGACTTTCTGGGTTTTAACTTCCAGGTGGCATCGATATGGACACATTTCAGGGGCGTGAGGAAGCTCGTGCAGGGCCTGATGACAATGAGGAGGTCATGCGAGCTCTACTCATTCATGAGAAAAAGACTTCTTCTGCCACAGCTGGCTCAGTGGGAGCAGCCGCTCCAGTGTCTGCTGCCAATGGCAGTGACTCGGAGAGTGAGACCAGTGAGTCGGATGATGACTCCCCACCCCGGCCAGCAGCTGTGGCTACCCATCACCGGGATGAGGATGAGGAAGATGATGAGTTTGAGGAAGTAGCAGATGACCCCATTGTTATGGTGGCCGGCAGTCCATTCTCCTATAGTGAAGTTAGCCAACGGCCAGAGTTGGTAGCCCAGATGACACCAGAGGAGAAGGAAGCATACATAGCCATGGGTCAACGCATGTTTGAGGACCTCTTTGAGTGAGCTTTCCCTGCTCTCTCCTCCTGTTAGCTCATTTCAGAGAGAACTTCCCACCAAGTGCTAAAGTGGCTCCTGCCCCCTTGATGTCAAGCACCTACTAATCTAGTACAAAAGCATAATAGGAGAGAAAGTTTGATTTTTTTTTTTTTTAATGTCAGAAACTTCCAAGAAAGGTAGGTGGGCTATAAGTATTCCCTCTCCTCTTATTACTAAAGTATTAATATTTTTCTGTAATTCCTTACCTATTTTTTTCCTTCATTTTTAAGACATGTTTTTCTCACTCGGATTAAAATGCTCCTGTCTAAATTAGGATAAACTTATCCTATTACAACTGTTTTCTGGTCAGGCATTTGAAACAATTCCTTGAAGTCCTGCCAACCAAAGTAGCTTACCAAGAAGCAGATCACTGGTTAGGGGAGCCCCAAACACTTCATCTTTCCTCCAAATTGAGTTTGGGATCACCCTATAAAAGGAGTGAGAGAGTACAGAAGAGAGAGAGAGAAATTAGAGGAGAGCATGCACGTATGTCCAGGGTTACAGAGATAGAGCAGGCTAGGCATACCTTCATGAAGAAATCAGGAAAGTGTGCACAAGGGTAAGGAATCTGTCCACAACTGAAGAACTGAGAGTGGGGACAGTGCTTTAGAACTGCCCCAGTGTGATTTGGAAATCTATGTAAAGCCGAGCCTGGTCCCACTTCCCTCCTGCTCTACAGGCCTTTTGCCAGTGCTCTTAATTAAGGAGCTGTTCGAGTAGAAAGCAGTAGAGGATTGTTGGCTACTCCACTCTTCCTCGATAGCTTCTAAACATCAAGGCCTCTGTCTCTCCTGTGAGTCTTGTCAGACTTTGTATTCTAGCCTCTCCACTGTGTTGTTGAGCATTGTAACCTCAAGGCACACAGTTATGTGTCATGGTGTTATTCCTGCAGGCAGAACTTTCAAAATAAAGGACTTTCATATAAGGTCTACAACCATTACATTATATTTTATAGTGGTTTCCCTTGCATTGTGACTTTTAATTATCATTTCTAGTGTATGTGAATTGAAGAGCGTTTGAGTATCTGAGCCTTGTATAAAGTGATTATTCATTTACCTGGTTGTTGGATGACTGAATATTGATGGTTTACTTATTATTGTTTAAAATTTGAATTTCTGGTTCTAACATCTTGGAGTATAACTAAAATGAACACTCTTCCCATTTAAAGATGTTAGAGATGTCTCACTAGCCATATATCATAGGTGCAATTGGATGCAAGCTAAATTCTGTTTTGTTTTGTTTTTGGCATTGAATTGCCTTAAAATACCTTTTATGTATTTATCTTAAATACATGAACTGTTCAACTTTTAAATTTTGTTTTTTTAAACTTTTATGGTTCTAGAAAGATGTTGATGTTTAAACTATGTTCTTTGTTGCATTTTATGTGATTATGTGTATGAGTGTGTTTTCTATTGTGGAAAAATATATTAATAAAGGCACTCATTAAAGCAGTGTTTGAATTAGACCAGAGAGGTGGTCGTACTCACTAAATGGGTATTAATCAGGAACTAAATATTTTCCAAGGAAAATACACGGTTGTTCATAAGAAGACATTAGGAAGAAAAGTTGTCCATCCATACTGTGTTTCATATAAAAGGATTCTCATTTTCTCCTACTGTTTGCAAGACACTCTTAGCTATTTTATTTGACTGATTATTTGGAACAAACATAAATCAGGGATGGTATGTGTGAGTGAAAATACTGGGAACGGGATTTGCAGTAATCTCAGTGTGTTGTACAACAGAAGAGATTCCCATTTTGGAAAATAGCCCACAGATAATGGATTATATGTAGAAATAGTGGAAATACAAAAGCAAATTCTATGTTAATGCTAAGATTTTTTAGGTGTCTTTCTTTTCTCATATTTAAAAATCCCAGGTTAGTAAAATTAAATTAATAAGACAATATAATTTAATATGTAAGTTTTTGACTATTGCCTCTATATTTCAATAACATGTGAGCAAACCTCAGGAGAGCTTGCTCTTATTTTGTCAGACAGCCATGTTTGTCTCAAGCTGCTCAGGAGTTTGTTAAGAGAAGCCAGTTAGTGACAGAAACACTAAAAATGGGAGTGCTGCTACTGTTAGCCTCTGAATCTCTAGTGAGAGCACTCTATCCCCGTAGGTGGCAAATACTTGTAATAACATGTAGTAAAGAGGGACCCCAGGATGTTAGGAATTATCACCACCCACAGTGTTTAGTGAAGGGTGGGCAGGAACACAATTTCTCTGAATGTGGCTTGCTGTCTTATTATGCTCATGTCAGCTCTTCATGTAGCCTGACTTTTCCACTGCCCTTTAGACTTTCACGAACTCTTAACATGGAAGACAACTTTTAGTATCATTTCTTTGGGAAACACCACTCCTTTGAGGGGTGGGAAGCAAGGGGCTTATATTCTCTGTTCCTATCTCTGTTACCCTGTTTTCTCCATCTGTACCACCTGAATGGATTATTCTGGGTTCCATTAACACCAGTCTGTGTTGTATTGAATCTTCATGGGGGTGGGAGTGGAATCTCAGCTGTTCTCAGAGGTTCTACCATGAAAGTTGACTGGAGTTTCTGCTTCCCTTTTTCTTTCCATGTCATCCTTTTTTCTCAAAGGCCTTGGAAAGTTTTCCCATGTTTTAAGAAATTCCTGTTCCTTTCAAATAGTTGCCTTTAAAGTGTCCGTGACATCCAGAGGGGCCTATCAAATGTAGGAGCCATAATGGGAGGGTAACTTTGGCTTCCTTTTCCCCTCAAGCTGCCCCCCCCCCACACACACTAATATATATACTTTTTCCCAAAACTAAGGTGGTAAGCTGCCCTAGCCCTAGGTCCACCTGGGGCCTCTTTGTTTGGTCTGCCCTTAAAGTTGATGCTTTTTGTTTATTTTGAAACCTCTCCCTCACCTTTTCACAAATCATCTTAAGGAATATTAAATTTAAATTATTTTTAAGAATCCACTCAGCAGATCTTGGTGGAAGTCAGGGGACTAGGTGCTAACCCTAGTGCTAGTGGCCAGACAACCTTACCTCTGATGCCATACTAGTGTGACATTCTTGGCCATTTTCTCAACAGTCTTTTAAGGAATGGTTCTGCTAGGCTCCCCAGATTTACTCCAGCTATTGTTTTATGGGGGCAAGTGATTCTACATTTTTAAAAATAAAGCCAAACAAACACCCACAAAAAAATGCCTTGTGATATGCTGAAGGAAATCAAAACCAGCAAAGGGGTGTTTTAATTGAGAGATTAAGGTAGAGGGTAGATTTGGAATTGGCAGTGCCACAAGTCAAAATGAGTTGTCAGATAATTGGGTTTCTATGTTCCCATCTTGTTGTGGTACTTAACTTCTAGTCATCTGCATGACTAAGGGAGGGATAATTGAGGATTTTATAGCTGTTGATATTATAAGAGGTTGGGATACCAGCAGGAGATGAGAACAGCAAGGGCAAGTTCACTTTATTCCATCAGTTGGCTCCAAGCCTAGATTTCCAGCCAGGACTACAATAAAAAAAAAAAAAAAAAAAAAAAAAAAAGGAAAGAAAAGAAAAAGATGTAGATGTGTGTTGCTTTTTTTCTCTTTATTCCCAAGTTTTTTAAAAAAGGAAGTATAAAATAACAGTTTCTTATTCTCAACCACCAGAAGTCACTTGACTGGGAGGAGCTCTCTACTCAGTAGAGCCCCTTAGTAGAGTGCTTACCTAGCATCCAGGCCTTGGGTTAGATCCCCCACCACTGGGAATAAAGAAAAGACCTTTCAAATTTTTGAAATTGGCATGATTCATTTCCTTATTTGTTTTGCGCATTGTTTTTATCAAAGTTATGTTACCTTTAGCAGCCTGGTTGCAGTCTCGGTAGCTTTTTTTTAATAGCTAAAACTTCTCTTCTGGAAAAGGAGGGCTTTTAGAAAGAAGCTGGTACTGTGGTAAACTCACTGTCTATTCATGTTCCCTCTTCCTCCCCCCTCCCCCGCTGCTATAAAAGAAATAAAGTAAACTGAACAGGATTAGTGCAGATAACTCTGAAAGCTTGTGAAGCCGAAGTGGGTTGAGAAAGGGGAAGCTAATGAAGTCTTCCTTTGGAGGGCTAAAGGGATGAACCAATTCCCGAGTGCCTTTAAGTGCAGGAGCAGATAAGTGGCCTCGCTTCAGAGTGAGCTTCATGTCCCCAGTACCAGAGGCAACCTTTCGAATTCACTTACAAAGCTGCTAGGCCTGGTGCATGACCCAGTTTCAACAGTCAGCCCACGATTCCCATCATACAAAAGTACATTATCGCCTACCCAATGTAAATAAGTCTGTGAAATTAGCCTAGAAAGAGTACAAGTGCCAGGCTCTTGTATGTCTTGAATAAAAGACATACAAGATGGTTGTATAGTCTCATTGTTACATAAATGGATCTAATGTTTTAAAATTACCCAATTAGAAATATAGATAGTAAAAACTGAGAACTCCTCTGCCCACCCCCATTTCACTGTTCTGAGGAAACCATTGTTGACAGTTTGCTTATTCCATACATCTTCTATGCTGTTAGTCCCCTTTCTGCATAAATGGGATTCCATATACTGTCAGTTGCTTTTGTAAAAATTAGAGCTATATAGAATTGTAAAATACCATATGATGGTTTATGCAACCTCCTTTGTTAATGACCAGCCCTATCCTTACGTTTTCATTTCTTTTGGTTATTTCAGGGTATGTTAGTCTGCCTTGCATTGTTGTAACAAATAGCTGAGGTGAGGTATTGCCTAAGGAACAGCGGGTTTGTTCAGTGAGTTTTGGAGGGTGAAAGTCTCAAGAGCAGACTTCCACATCTATCTGGTCTCAGATGAAGGCCCACTTGGCTGCAGCACAAAAGGGTAGAAAGGGAAATGGCTGTTTGCAGAAGAGCCCAAGGCATGGACTGGACTTCACTTTAGTAGGATATGCTCTTATGAGAGGCAGCATGAGTCCCTTTTCCATTCCTGGTGATGTGATCATCATGGGGCTCAACTCCTAAATGTTCCTCCATCTCAGCACTCCACCACCAGGGACCTGCCTAGCACACAAAACTTCCAAGCCCACAGGACGTGTCCATTTACTTCAGTGGATACAGCCAGATTATTTTTTAAAAAGATGGTCAGGTGGTATTTGAGCCAAAGAAGAGTATGGAGTATTGGTACTTGATTAGAGTTTATGTCTGGAGAATTATAAAGCCATGTTCATAGTCTTGGTGTCCAAGACCATGTAGATAGGAAGATGGGGGTAGATTTGAAAGATGATAAGAGATAAAAGTAATATGATTTGGTGACTTTGGACGGGATGTTTTTTCTTGGATGATTCTGAAGTTTTCTACATGGATTAGAAATAGAGACAGGGGATTTTCCAAATTCAGCAGATAGTGCTGCTATTTTACCTACAAGGTCAACCTAAAAGTCATAACAGTTGACCATTTTTGCTTTCTTCACCCTACATCAAACTTATCATCCAGTTCTGCCAGACTCAAAATATCATCTAACTTATATAACCTAATTCTGAAGGTAGAGCTGACAGGACTTGCTGATGAATTAGAGATACACTGTAATCTAGTGGCTTCTATCACTACCGTTCTCTTCTCAATCATGTCCACTCTCACCTTGATGACTGCAGCCACCTCTCTCTGCTTCCATAACACACACACACACACACACACACACAGAGAGAGAGAGAGAGAGATTTTAACCATGCATCCACACAGGGATTTTTTTAAAATGACATCGTAAATCAGATTTTAATTTAAATTAACATCCAGATCTCTTACCCTTTCCAACAGTCCCTATTTGATCTGGCCTCTAACTGCCTGCTTCTTCCACTAATTTCCTTGTTGAAAACTGAACTTGACTAGAGCATTTTTTTTTGCCTGCCTTAGGTCTTTGTCTAGTTAGTCTCTGTCTAAGACACTCCCCATTCTTGCTTGTCACATCACTCTTCAGCACAAATGCCACCTCTGAGAAACCAGTTTTCTGTTCTCCTGTCTATTTTATATTCTTCTGTTTTTTTTTATTTATTGCAATCTTAAAACTTGAAATAAGTGTCTGTTTTATGCCCGCTCCACCCCTCCCCAAAGGAGACTAAGTCACCAGAGGACAGGATACTAGCATATAGAATTAATTCTGCAGCAGAGTCTATACTCAGTAAGTGTTGAGTGGGGAGATGGGCAGATGAGTTAGCAGTAGGGGAATCTGACCTTTTCTGTACCGAAGCTGATCATTTTGTTCCTGCCTGAATTGCAAATTAGTTAATTATGTTCTTAATCAGATAATCATGCTCACTTGTGATTCATGGTGCCTAGGGCTCTGTCGGTAGGGGGTGCTGGAACACAGTTTCTGAGGCACAGCTAGACATCTTGAAGCTTTGGTTCTGGGAGCCATTAGCTTTAATGTTTGTGGAAAAGGAAGTTTAGTGATACTGGGGCTTCACTGTCTACACTTGAGATGTATCAGACCCAAATGGAAATATGCTATAACTGAATAG